AAATCCAGATTTCCTCATATAAAAGAGTTCTGTCAGCATCATGTATTAGTTCATTTTTCTTATCGCTGTAACAACATATTAGGTAGAAACAACCTAAAGAAAAGAGGATGCATTTTGGCTCACGGTTTCGAAGGGAATACTCCACCATGAAAGCTGGTGCGTATCTGTCCATAGCAGCTTGCTGGCCTTCCAAATGTGGGACCAACATTGAGTCCAGGCTACCTGTAAAATGTCCAACTCCAGTGACCACCTCTACTCTCCAGATACTGCCCCTTAAGGACCCATAATCTCCAAAATATTGATACCATCTGAGGGCCAAGTGTTCAAACACAGGAGCCAACTCTCACCATATTTCCCCCTTTTTCTAGTGCCATTGACCGCATATCTACACCCAGAGATTTCTGTGATTAGTCCTGATATTTTGTTCTGTCTAATCTCTTGCTATTCTAACTCTACAGTCCACTCAAGGCTCTCTTTCATTTCTTACCCCCACAGTGGGATATGGGTGGAAACCAAGTAATCTTTCGTCAAGTTGACTTGGGTTTGAAGCCTACCTTTCCCCCTCCCTGGATCTGTAAACTTGGGTGGACTCCCTAATCTCTGTGGGCTTAGTTTTCTCATGTAGAACATGGAGATGAGGTTATAGTGAGCACCCCACTGGGAAAGCAACATCCTAACATCCTTTAATGTGTGCTGCTAATAGAACCCCTGATCCCACTGCCCAGTGCTACCTGGCCTTTGCTCTTCCATTTCTCTTCACCTCTGACAGGCCTCTTTTCAGTGGGAAAATTTTTTCCTTCCTCTCCCACTTTCTTAAGGATTTTTCTTTTTAAAAAATATATCTATTTTTGGTTTATATGTGTGTGTTGCCTACATATATGTAGGAGCACCGTGTATGTGGAGTGCCCATGGAGATCAGAAGAGAGTGTCAGAACCCCTGAAACTGGAGTTACAGAAATTACAGGAATTTGCTAAGATGTCATTTGGGTGCTGGGAACTGAACCTGGGTCCCCTGAAAGAGCAGCCAACTTTTAACCACTGGGCCATCTCTCCAGCCCCTATGTTCTTGTGCATTCCCATGGAGCACATACTCTCTTTCTCTCTCCCTTTTCCTCTTCCTCTTTTTCCCCTTTCCTCTCTCCCCTCCCACTTCTCCTCTTTCCCAGTCTCCTTCTCCCCACCTCTCTCTGGCGATGCTGAGAACATTCCCATGGGGCTCTATCTGAAGTGATGCTGAGAACAGTTTACAGCTTTCATAGTTCCTTCCAAAACCAGCCCAATTAATCTGTACAACTCTAAGAGGTCAGACTTGTAAATGTTGCTCCTATTTCAAAGAAGGAGACTTTAGCTCAGTGAATGACAGGGCACTTGCCTAGAATGTGTGACGTGCTGGGGTTTGTTCCCAGAACCATGCCAAGCAAGCAAACAAATAAATAAATACAAGGGAAACTGAGACCCTCAGGGGTTGAAAGACTGGTTCATAATTACAAGCCTCTGATTTTGGGTCACTGTGTCTTTTTTCCTTGTACCAATTTGCGCCTGAGTGACTGCTGCCCACCTGCCATGGGTGCTCATTTTTATGTTGCCAACTGTCTTTCCATTGGTCCTTGCCTTGCCCCTTCTCCAAGGGAGGCTGTAGTCTTGCCCCTCCCTATAGCTGAGTGCCCTGCAGAGATCTTTTTGGGCTGATGACCCTGTGTTGAAACTTGAAGGCTGTGCTCTGCTGCAAAGTAGCTCTGGGAAACTAACACTTGCAGCACCTAGCAGGGTGAATGCATAGAGTGAAACTTTATTCAAGAGAGTAAGAGACACAAAGACAGAACCCCCTCTGGGAATGGCTGCTTCTCTGAGTGCTAGCTTCTCAACCTTGATTCACTGAATTTAAGGAATTTGGAGTTGGTGCTTTCATCCCCTGTGTCATTATACAATAATGCTGATGAGATGGATCAAAGCTAATCTGCTTCCATCTGTTTTCCCACCCCCAGACTGTGAGTCCCTCAGGGCGAGTGCCATGTCCTATTCCCATCAGTCCTTGTGGCCTGCTACTGTGTTTGACATTTAGCTAATGGAAGTTGAATGGATAAAGCAAAAAGACCCATCTGTGTCCATCTTCTGATCCCCTGTGACCATGCTCATTCCCATTCTCTTTCTATCTCATCCCATGAAATATGTTTATTTCTCATGGTGAAGTAAGGGCAGGCTTCATGTCTTTCTCATTTTTGAAGCCTCTCCAACAGCCATGAAATGGGAAAGCCATACTTACTGAGAGTCTGCTCTGTGCCAAGGTGATGTCACACATAGCATCTCCTTTTTAATAATTTCACTTAATATAGGTCTCTCTCTCTCTCTCTCTCTCTCTATATATATATATATATATATATATATATATATAATGTTAAGTGCTCTCATAGTATGAAAGAAGAAACTCAAATGTGGGTCAATGAAGAAACTGAGTCTGAGAGTTTACACAGCTAGGATGTAGGAATACTGGGATGGAATCCTTGTCCCTTGGCTCGAAAACCCAGTGCCTTCCTTCTTACTGCTCATTGTTCTCCAACAGCACAGCTGAGAGCTTAGCTTAGTAGGAGTCAGGAGCAGTGCTGAACTGAACTTGAATTTAATTGTGTTAAATTAAATTGTGCCCATGTGACCCCAATGTTTCAGGCTTATATACTGCCAGCTCCTCATTTGATTGATTGTACAAAATGCTCCTGGAAACATGAGGGGAGAGCAGCAGGTATGAAGACATATTCCCTGACTTCAGCCTAGTAGGACTACAAAATTGGTCAGTACGGTCGGTATTACTGGAGACACAGGAGGCAGGAGCTCAAGTCAGCCAGAGCTTCTGAGTGATCACTGTTACAGTTTCCTCTCTGTTGCTGTGACAAACATCATCGGCTTATACTTCTTTGTCACAGTCCATCACTGAGGGAAGTGAGGCAACAGTGTAAGCAGAGACTGTGGCAGAAACCATGAAGGAGTGCTGCTGGCTGACTCACTCATTCACTTAGCTAGATTTTTTTTTTTTAGACAGCCCAGGACTTCCATTTCAGGGAATGGTGCCACTCACAGTGGGCTGGATCATCCTACATCATCTAATAATCAAGACAGTCTACCCTCAGCCCTGCACAGACGTGGGCCACCCTCAATTGAGACTTCTCCTCTCAGGTGACTCCAGACCATATCAAGCTGACAATTGAGATTAATTAGGAAAATCATGAAGGAGGAATAAGAGTGATCCAAGCCAAGCAAGACAATGCAAAGGGAACAACAATACTCCTTAGATGCAGAATTTCAGCTAGGACAGGCCTGAACATAGGGGACATTTCAGTGGAAGAGGAGAGCAGGAAACAAGAGATGCTGAAGTCCATCTCCCTGTGTTCACCTTACAAACTAAAGGTCACCAGGTGCATTCACAAGTATGCTCTTAGCTTAGATGGCAGCTAAGCCTTTCATACCACTCAGGAAATGAGTTAGAGAACTAGCCACATCTCCACCTGTCTTTTCTTGGGATAAACATGAAAGCTTCATTTCCCTGATGTGTAGGAAATAATGAGCACTTGGGCTGACCCGTGTGGTGATGTCAGCTGCCTGGATTGGGTTGTGGCTGCCCTCAGCAGGCTGGGAGGGCACCACCTGGCTTTATGTTCATGGTCTTGGTGTGCTCCTGGAGTAGAAAGCCTTCCTGAGGAGCCACTTGGGGAGTAATGGCTGCTGTATAAACAGAACCAGGCCCTCCTCAGAATCCCTTTTGAACATGGAGTGAAGAGTTCTGTCTACTCTAGATTGTACAACGGTTAACTAAAAGTGTCATTTGAGCTTATCTAATTCAAGTTTTCCCCTTCACTGTGCCTGTAAATATTCTTTAATTTGAGACTTTGTAAAGCCAACCAAAGAATGGCTTGAGAATTGAACCAGTCCTATGAACTGTATGTGACTTAGTCAACAGTAAATGCAGATGTGTTCATAGTATTTGCAGCTTTTTTTAAAAAAAGCCCATCATGGTACCGGCAGTGAGTACCACTCTCCTTACCTCCTTAGGAACTTTGACAAAACCCTCAAGCCATGTTCTGTCTTGGTCCTATTCAGATATTGCTGTTCCCTCACAATCGTACATGAGAACTCTCCTGCACCCCAGTACTTCTCACCATCCCTTGTGGTCATCACCAAGCCACTGTGGACTGTCCGCCTCCACACACCCACGCTCTCTACCTCATCCTTTGAATGTGACTGGCCTGCTCACACCCTCATGTGGGAGTGTACATAAAAGTCAGCTGAGAAAAGCCACGTCTGCTCCTGAGCACGAAAGCCACTTCCCGAACACACTTCAGCGTCTGCTCCTTGCTCACCTCCCAAGATCTCCACTCCATTCTTCTCCCTCTGTTGTGTCCTTCACCCTGCTGCCTGGATGATTTATCTAAAATTCAAGTGCGATCATGTCACCCCCTGATCAGAGCCCTTCAGTGGCTTCCAGATCTTTTCTGATGACATCCAAACTCCTGAAGCATTTAGAGCAATGTCATCTGTGAGCAGGCCCCTTCTGCTCTCATGGCATCATCTCCTAATTCTCCACTGACAGTGACACTGCAATGTTCAGTTACTGATGGATGTCCAAGCACAGTATTAATTCATGTTTCTGAGCCTGCCAGGAAAAAAAAAAAAAAAAAAAAAAAAAAAAAAACCCTTCTTTTCTATTTTGCCTTTCAAATCTGACTAGTATTTCAAATTCTCTCAACTGCCCCCCTCTCAGAGAATTCCTTAGGCAGAAAGTCCTGGACTACCTTCTTGGGGTACCCACTGTTCACTTCTGTATGATCCCCAGACTCATGGTTAGTAGAAATTATCTCTAATCATTGAGTTGTGATGGAATTAAGACAAGGCAATGCCTGCCCAATCAGTACTGGCTGAATCTTTGAACGCTTTCCCCTTCTCCCCATCCCTGAAGAGGTTCACATTTCCACCCCAGCCTCACTGACATCTACATCCTGATTGACTTCCAGGTCGGGCCAACCACTGGTCTGCCATCATTGGAGGGTCCCACTCTAAGAACTATGTGCTGTGGGAATATGGAGGGTATGCCAGCGAAGGTGTCAAGCAAGTTGCTGAGCTGGGCTCACCGGTAAAAATGGAGGAAGAAATTCGACAGCAGGTAAGAACAGACTCCTTGCTCAACCAACAGCTAGAAAATGAGGTGGGAGCATTCCTGAGCTTCGTTCTCAGGAGCTTGAGAAGTGCAGTTGAGTGCTTGAGAGGGGGGTGCATTGGAGAGTCTCGGTTTCTCTCCTTGAATTCACGCGTCCTCTCGCTTCTGCACGCTTCCCACTGCTGTAGGCTTGCTATTGGAAACACAGACCTCTGGTCTCCTGAGAGTGAAAGGGTGATTTATAGTTTTGTACTATGGTTCTTGAGGGTGGAGGATGGTGTTCAAGCTGTCTAAGCAAATTGTCGCTTCTGAAAATAGACATTTTATGTGTTGGCATGTGGTGTTTTGCAACAGTGTCTTGATGTGTCTGATAAATTCCCTGGCCATTAGTCATAACTGTCGTGTACTGTGAGCCATGTCAGGTAACACCAGAAGCCCAGGAGCTTCCCCATTATCAAGGTCCCAGCATCTACTGAGGAAGGCAGGAGAAATGACCCATTATTCTTGTCAATGCGCTTGCCTGATAGTGGACATCCTTCATCAAAAGCCCGAGCTAGTTAATAGCAAATAGAGGCTGAGAACAGGGCCTTGGAAGAATAGCAGTTTTTGTGGTTTGCTGTGGAGGGCTGACGGTCTGGCTTTAGCTGTCATTCCCACGGAAGCCGCTCTGGCACTAGAGCTACTTATGTTTCACTGATGCCAGCTGTTCTGGGGCAAGGAAAGGGCAAGCTGTGTTTGCAGTGTGGCTATTTCACACTGCAGGTCACAGAGCGGCCGCCATCCTCCTCCCTCCTGCCCTGCATCTCCCAAGATGATGGAGGAGGCTCCAGATATTTGGGTGCCCCTGCTGTGACATGATGGATGTGTCCTCAGAGGCCTGACCAGACTGAGGGGGTGAGCACAGCCCAGACCCAGCGCTTCGCTGAAGCCTACCATCTGGGTTCTGAGCTGCCCACAGTCCTAGACTGGATGGAGCTGAAGTCACCCTGCTCCTTCATGATGCCCTGGGGATCCTTTTGGAATATGGGAGGTGGGGATGGGATTCAGAATGAGCTTATGCTTCTTCTCAATTTGATTTGAAGTTTAAATATTTTAACATGGCATGGCTTTAATGAGCAAATCATCCTTCTTTGTAACTAAAGATGACCTGGAACTATTGATCCTCCTGCCTCCACCAACTGAGTCCTAGGGTTTCAGACATGTAGCACTATGCCAACTTTTATGCAGTGTTCAGGATCAAACCTAGGAATTTATGTAAGTTATAGCAGCATGCTGTTAACCAAGCTATATCTCCAGCCCACAGTGGCAGCCTTCTAACTGTCCCATTTCTCCCACTCTGCCGTGCCTCACAAGTGACATAACTCTTCAGGCTATAGCCAAGTCGTGAGTGGCCTCTCCATATCTGGCTTGTCATTTGGGTGCCCTTTGTCTGGAATCCCAAAGTCTCACTTCCTAGCTCTCAAGCATGAAATTGTGATTGTCCAGCTCTGAGGAATGGGATGCTGAAAACCATTTGTTACAAAGACATGGTGACGTTGGCAAGTGAATTTGAGATCGAGGGTGTTTTCCTAACAGTGTCAGTCCCACTTGTTGACTTTCTTTAGCGGCTTCCAGAAAGGAGAGAGATGCAGGAATCATTTGCAAAACTGAGATTATGAGCCAGACAGATACACAAGCTTTGTGCCCTGAGTTCCATCCTTGGAAGCCATGTAGAGGTGAAAGGAGAGAACCAGCTTGTGGTGGTTTGAAAGAAAATGGCCCTGTAGGCTCATGAGGAATGGCACTATTAGGAGGCGTGGCCTTGCTGGAGTAGGTGCCACTTTGTCAGAGGAAGTGTGTGGCCATCTATTCCTGAGGCCTGAGGATCCAGGTGTAGAACTCTCAGCATCTTCTCCAGCGCCATGTCTGCATGCCACCATGCTTTCCCACACGACAGTAATGGACTAAACCTCTGACCTGTAAGCCAGCCCCAATTCAATGACTTCCTTTATAAGAGTTGCTGTGATCATGGTGTCTCTGCGCGCGCACACACACACACACACACACACACACACACACACATGCACACAAGAACACACTAGCATGCACACACAGGTAATGAATTTTTAAAAATGTAAACTGGGATTATTTTTTGCTGGTGAACCTAAACTTTTCATGTGTCATGACAGTTGAAACGTTGAAAATCCTGGGCAGGACTTCAGCCTTTGAATACCCCACTTCAGGGAATGTGTGCGTGGTGTGGCCTTAACCAGCCTCCCGTGAGGGGTCTGTCTGAGCCAGCTGGTACATTTTCCTGCTAATATGCTTAATTGTGGGGACTGTAATGGGGACAGACTGTACATGTGTGTCTAACACCTCCTCTTGGCCTTCTGGGTACTGGATAGCTCTCCTTAGCCCTCTTTGCATCCGAGTCTGAGAGGCCCGCATTAGTGTTCAAGTTCTACAGGTAAGGAGAAGGTATAGTCAATCACAGAAAACCCAAGTGTGTATGGCTCCGAAGCCTATACACAGAATCTAGTGTATGAACTACGGGGCTCCAAACAGACACTCCCTCCTCTCCCACATTCCAAATCTGATGAGAATCTCAAGATGGCCATGCTGTGACTTTCCCAGTGTGGACCCCATGACACTGAACAAGGCACTTCCCACCTGTGCCCCTGCCCAGCGCCACACCGCCATCCCACTTCTTGCCAGCTCTGAAAGGAGCCTCACCAGGCAGCACCATCTGCTTCCCAGCTCCTTAGAAATCCAGCTCAGTTCAGTGATTTCAAGGTCCCTTCAGTTCCAAAAGATTCATGGCCTTAAATATCCTTCCCTTCAAGCACAAAACTTCTATTTTTCTGTAAGTCAGGGAGGAAGCGACATAAAAAGGAGAAAGAGGAAGGTTCCTCCTAGAATAGAAATGTGTCTTCTGCATAACCAGAGGGCTTGTTTGAAAACTTCAACAAATTCTCTGTTCCAGGCCCTTCATACTTTATACCCTCTATCAAAGAGCTCCATTCCAGCCATGATGCAAACAAAGCCCCTTTTCCCACAAAAGGCATTCTGTGCTTTCGTTATTATGGACTTATACCTCACAGCCATTTTCACAAGCATTAAAAAACACAATGGTTATTATTGGATATAAATTTTATGCTAATGGGTTTCAAACACAAATGAACAAAAGCACTAATCACATTAGTTGTGAGGAATCATAATGGTTCTGTTGGGTATAAGCCTTATTGTTGCTATAACTGTAAAGTTCCAAAGAAATTGGTGACAAATCACTGCAGAGGCATTAGCAGTGATGATGCTACTGAAAGACAGTGGAGGCAGAATATGTGCCCCTTCTTTAGGGGAAGAGAGGCCAATGCTCCCTGGTGGCCAGTGGGACCTGGGAATTGGAAATAACTGAGTTGTCTTTGTCAGCCATGTGTATTTCTTGAGAGGTTCTCCAGCTGACTTGTAAGTGTGTGTTTCCTGTTTTCCTGAACCTTCCATAGTAACTTGGAACTCAGCTTATGCCTGTGTGTGCTCATGAATATGCACAGGAGTACAAGCATGTATGTACATACGGGTAGAGACCAGAAGTCGATCTTGGGTATCATTCCTCAGGGGTCATCACCTTGGTTTTTGAGACCGGGTCTCTCCCTGAGACCTAGGACTCACCAATCAGGCTCAGCTCACTGGTCAGTGAGCTCCAAGTTGTCTCCTGTCTCTGTCTCCCCAGTCTCAAGATCACAAGTGTGCTACAAGACCAGCTTTCTTATGTGGGTGCTGAAGATCAAACTTAGGTCCTGATGACCCTGGAGCCATCATTCAGCCCCTGTTTGCTGATCCTTGGTTTCGATGACCTGAGGGATTTGTTGTGAGTTCCTTAAGTAGTTGGTAGTATTAATCTTTGTCAGATGAGCAGCTGTTAAGTATTTCTCCGCTCTGTGGATGCCTGTCTGCTCCGTTGCTTGTTTCCTTTGCAGCGTGATTTTGTTTGTTGTCAGCCCATTTGGCCATCCTGTTGAGTACACCGATGTCTTGAAGTATTTTTCCCTGTTTTCATCTAGTAGTTGTCTAGTTTGGGGTCTTATTTTTAGGTCTTTGATGTGTTTTGAGTTGATGTTGGCTAAGCTGAGAGGCGTTTGGGTGTTGCTGTCAAGTAAAATGAGCCAATACAGTGTGTTCTCTCATATTCAGGCACTTGAGGAAGCAGAACCAAATGTAGAATAGGGATGAGCAGAGGTTGGGAAGGGGAGGGGAGATTAATGAGGGCTGGCTTTGATCAGCACACTGTACGCATGTATTCAAATGTGACATTGGATGCTACGGATGCATGCAATTTGTACATGCTAATAAAAAATATAACAATGTTTACAGAAAGAAACATAAGGCTGTGGCTAGCCTGGCAGGCTGTGGTACATCAGGTCAGAGGCAGGAGGAAGAAATGGAAGATGACTCTGGAGGGAGTGAAGTCCAGAGAGCCGATGCAAGCTCATTGCTTAGGAAGACTTTACCCCCACTATAACGTCTTGTAAGCCAGCAGCTGCAAATTTGGGTGTCTGATTTTCTGCTGGATACCAGGGTAAACATGGTGCCCGCTCACCCAGAGAGCTCGGTGCCGGCCTTGAAACTCACCACGCCGCAGCTTCTGCCTCCTCCACACTGGAGTGCACCAGTTTTGTGGGTGCTGTTCCAAATCCCCTGGACCTTGATAGCGTGCTGTCCCCTTCTCCCTTCTGCCCCTTTCAGCTCCCAGCTCCCATTCTTAGTTCAGCAGTGTCTTCTCTAGGAAGCATGGAGCCCTACAGCTTCTGGTGCTGCCCCTGACCTAGGCTGACCCTCACAGCCTTTCTTTCTCTGTCTCCCAGCTGAGTGGAACCTTCTCACTGCCCGAGTCCTCTGCTTCCTTCCATACCAGTCTGTTCCTATCCAGGCTGCCTTAGCTCTTCAGCAACACTAAGCACGGACAGTGTTCTCGCTTAGGTTGTTCTGTGGCCACAGGGCCTTAGATAGGGACATCTCTTCCTTTCCAC